TAAAAATAAAATAAATCCGAAAACCGCTAAAACCGCTAAGACAAATAAAACTACAAAACCAACCAAAAACAACAAGCAAATAATCAGACAACGAAGAACCAACCAAAGAAAAATTGACAGGAAGGAAGGGCTGTAGGGCAATCCCTCGCCAACACTGGACAAAATTTTAATCTCTATCGACATTAACAGAATTAGCTCGCTGCATAAAAGAACAATTTAATTTAACTGACTATTCCGAAATCGTAATAAGAGCCGCTCAGGAATATAATCAGAGTATTCATTCCACAACAAACAAAAAACCTGTTGACATTCTTTATAATAAAATCGAACAAGATAATATTCCACAATTATTAAAAAATACACAGAAAAAAATGTTAGAAACACATAATGAAAACAGAAAAGAAAAACAATATCACGTAGGACAAGTTGTTTATGAGAAGAAACATGGAGAAAGAAATAAACTTAAACCAAGATATAAGAAGCAAATAGTTAAAGATGTTATGCCTTATAAAATAATAATCAACAGTAGAAACAGAATTATTCACAAAGATAATATTAGGCATTAATAAATTATTTTTTTTTAACTTACAGAAAATGTATTCTTTAATACATATTTTATCAATTATAATATTGGCCAGTTCAGAAATAATTGATTACTCGAACCATGATTTTTTTCTGTTCAAAGACAACAAGGATGTACTTACGTATGAATCTTACAACGATTTATTCCACGTAACTAATTTAAGTTTTTATAAGGAAATAATTAATATACTTACTATCAGATAATATAAAAAAGGATTTAAATAAAAGGTCACAATGGGAAATAAAGTACGACTTAGAAGTAATCGAATTAATCTTATCCCAGTTAATATCAGCTAGAACATAAAGAGGAATAAATGAGTTAGGCACCGTGTGGAAATGGTTAGCTGGAACTCCGGATCATGATGATATCATTAAAGTACAAAATAAAATCAATGACTTAATTGAAAATAATAATAAACAGTCTATTATTAATTCCAAATGGTTCAAAGAAATAGAATGGCTCTCTGAAAATTTTAAAAAGGTTTTTATTGATTAAGATTTACCACTAAGAAAACATCGCTTACGATTGATAACATTTGATCTACAAAATTTAATTGATACTATCACCCTTGCAAAAAATTGACGTTTTCAACACCAAAATTTTAAATAATGAAGATATAAAAGAAATATTAAAACACGAGCAAAAGCCAGTAATTATCGCTGACTTAATGGACATCTCTGTGTTCAAAATCGCATTACATAAAGAACTTTTAATAATTTATATAAAATACCCAATAATAAATAATAGATGCGAATTATATTACACTCGACGCAAAATGCGAAAATACATATTATGAAATGTCTACATTTAAAAAAGAATTCTTTAATAACTATTGCACTCTAAGTTTAGAAAAAACATGTTTTACCCGACTATTAAACGGTGAACAATCAATTTGTAAAAAAATAAGAGAAAAAAATAAAAAAATAGACATTATCCAAGATGGTGCCATTTTAATAAATGGTAACAACATCGTCAACAACTCCGAATTAGGTGGTTCATTCATAATAACATTTAACGGTACAACCACAATAAATAACGTTTCATATACCAGTTTAGACAACAAAATTCTTAACTATATTACTACAAACCACTTCAAAAATTATGAAATATCCGATTATAAATTTTCGAATAACTCGGAACTCTCTTTAGATAATATAAATATTTTAAATCCATTCATTAAAATTAATAATACCAACATATCTATATCTTTTATATTATTAATTTTAATCATTATATATTTGATTTCTCTACCTATTATTAAATACAGAAATATATTTGTAACCAAAAAACAACGGCCAGAATTAGAAAAACCTATTAACGAAGAAATATTTTTAACAGAATTAAGAGATCGCCTTCGCCTTTTTCATTAACTTCGAAGGCCGCGCTTGACCGTTCTGCTAAGATAAATAAACCTATAGTAAAGTAAACAACAGCTTCCGTTCGAAGCCAAACTCTCACGTTCAAAGACAAAAGTATTGGGTTCCAATTTTTAATCAAAATTGAATTGGTCGGCATAATTGAATTTCACAACGAGATGCGACAGTTTCAGCATAAGCTTTTATTTTAAACAAAAATCAAAGTTCTAGAAGCTTAAAAAAGAAAAGCTTCTGGCCGAGGTTCGTTGGAGAAGATTTTAGAATTAAGGAGGCAGTCTTATTCGGATTGAAACCGGGATCGGTCATAAGAAATAATAATAAGTGAAAGTGTCTTGAAGTAATAAAGAGTTAGTGAGTTAAGGTTTGCACCAATAAAGTGAAATTAAAAAATAAAATTTATATTTTTTTAATCAACCAATAAGATCAAATTTAATTCGCACGCGTTCTTAGTTTGAATCTGAATTAAACGCTCCTTTCGTTTAACTTTTTTTAGTCTTTTTATTTATTTATGTCTTGTTTTTGTGCGCGCAGCATCACACTCCCCCCCGTTATGGATTTTAGTGGTATTGAATCGTGACGTAGTTTCCCCTGTTCGACACCACTCGCCAGGTTGTCTCTCCATCCTTTATTAGCCATCGATGCTGCCTTCCAATTCTTTTTCCTGCTAGCTTTTCCTTGATACTGTCTCTTGCCGTTCTTAATATTACCGCTCCTTCTGGTAGTGTCCATCCTTCGTCGTTGGGCTCCTCCTGGAGCTCTAGTATATCCCGGTCCGTTGTCTCGGCTGCTCGGCTATCCTGGGCGATTCTGGCTACAGCACTTATGGTTTGGTTACTGGTTGTTTGCGGTGCCGGAGTCTTCATGTTGCCCCTCCTCTTCACCGGTGCCGTCCGCCTTCGTGCGTATTTGTATTGTATTGTATTTGTTCCTCCGTACGGCTTAGTGTCTCCAATGTATATCCTCTTTGTTTTCCGTGTGTTCGGGTCTTTTACTGCCACTTTCGTCCGCGTCTTCCTTGATTTTTTCTGCTGTGATCCCTTGTACTTCTCCTTGATCCCGTTGTCCGTAACCTCTATTGCTTTCAACTCGTCCTGTGCTGCTCTGGGTAAGGCGTCTGCTACCTCATTCCATTTTCCCTCTCCATACTGCACTACGCCTAAGTCCCTGGTATTCGTTTTTGTCTCCGGTTGGTCCACTTTGTCTCCGGCTGCTCCTATCTCTAGCTCCAAGCCTGCACACCTCAGCGAGCTGCGTGCCCCGGCTAGAAAGTCCATTCCTAACAGTATTCCTCCTGCCACTTCTGTTAGTATCGTGAATGTTACCCTGAACGCTCTTCCTCCAAATTGGATTTCTGCCGCGAATTCTCCTATCGCCTTCTGCGTTGCTCCGTTGGCCATTGTTATTTCTGCTCGGGTTCCACACCATTTGCCTTGTTGTTTCAGATCTTAATATCTGCTTCTGCTTATCGCGCTTCTTGATGCTCCACGTTTCCTTTCGCTGTCTGGTTTCCGACCCTTATCCGGGCTACTATTTGGAACCCGTCGCAGCACAGCTGTTCCCCTGCTGCTGGCTCCTTTATTGCCGCCTGAGCTGTCAGCTTCAACTGATCAGGTCTCCTGCAGCACTCCTTGGTTCTCGTACCGTTTCTTCCACAGATCCAGCAAAACAGCCTCGGCGGATTGCTGCACGTGCTTGCCGCATGTCCGGTTCCTCCGCAGCGCATGCATATCTCCGGTCCTAGTTGCTGCTGTGCAGGTTGGCTTGCCTGTGTCCGGTCCTCTGCCTCTATTTCTTCTACTTCCTCCGCTAGTTTGAGGAACTCTGTCAACGAGTTGAATCCTGCCCTCCTAGCGTACAGCTTTATCTTGCTCCTGCTGTTTTTGTATACACGGTCCAGTTTGGCCTCTTCTGAGAGTTTCTTGAATTGCATCAGTTTTCTTAGTCCCATTGCGTATTCTCTTACGGGCTCCGTTTCTCTCTGTTTCATCTGTGTAATCTGATTCTCCAACTGTTCCTCATACCTCGGCGGCAAAAAGTATTCCAGCAGTTCTGTTCTGAGCTGGGTCCATGTTACGATCCTGCTCGGCGTGGTGTTCCCCCAATCACTCGCGATCCCCTTCAGGATGAGAGGCATTGCCTGTATCAGCTGGTCCTTCCGTATTCCGTATCCGCCTGCCCACTGTTCCATTTTGCTTAGTGGGTTTGTCGTTCCTTGGTACCGGATGCCCCATCCGCGTACCCAGTCTATGACTTCTGTTTCCATTTTTATTTCTAACTTTCCTTCCGTTTCGTCCCCTAGACTTGCTCCTTTGATGTCCATTATCTCTTCCTTTTCCCTGGTTACTACGATCACCGGAATTGTTTCATTCGCCGGGCTTTTTTCTCTCTTATATTTTGTCCGACAGTTCTGCGAGTCTTTGTCTGACCGTTTCTGTATGATCCGTTTTCTTTGCGAACGCTGCCAACAAACGTCTTAAGTCCTCACTTCTTTCTGCCGTTCCTAATTGGAACTCTTCCGTGTATTTCGTTAGTTCGCTCTTTGGTGCCAGATATACCCAGCTCGACATTACTCCGCTGGTGTCGGTTCATCTCCTGCAACCACTTTAACCTGTTCGGGCGCCACTGTGACGGTTCGTCGTTGTCGGGTGGCTCAGGGATGGCCAGGGTTCGTCACAAGAATTTGTTTGTGTCAGGCGTGGTTGCTGAAAGACAGTTCCGACCCAGCCCAGAGTAGAGGTCGAGGGGAATTACTAAGTAATTGATTATAACTAGGTTTATTTCATTGAGAATCTTGACATTTGATTAATAACTAACGGCTTCTCCGGACTGGCGGGGTGCCGCCCTTGCTGCCTTCGCTTCCTTCGTACACTTCGAATGCCTGGTATCGGAACCCGTCCAGCTGCTCGAGAGGCACAACGCGGGATTACGGCTGCTGGTAGAATAGACCCCGGGGCGGGTTGCCACGTAGCGAGCCTGAAATAAGAATATAGTGCTTGGGGACCCTGAAGTCATCCACGAGCGAGTCATCCAATCCCGGCTACCGGCGAAACCACTCTGAGTTCTCCAGAAGCACCAGCGAGCACTGGCCTGGTTTCGCTACTCCCTCCTGGTGTGTGAGATGAAATTGTAAGTGGGAGCGTACACAAAAACCGGCAATCTTATACTCACCAGCTGACCGGCGCACCTGCTGCTGCCCCAAGTCCAACAGATGGGAAAAATAGTCGAAACTAACAAACCAGCGACCACAAGCGCACGGGCCTGCTGCTGTCATTGAGTTTCTTCTTAGCTGACAGGCAACGCTGACATCAGCTCCAATGCTCTAGGACCCCAAAATTCGATTGCAGCCGAGATATCTCCTCCTGATGATGCTCCACGCCTGGCTACTAACGCCATCATCGACTCCGCTACACTGGACTCCGATGTGCCAGCAAACACCAACTCTGCTGCGCTTTTTTCTCCTGGTGTGAGAGATAAGATTACAGTCAGCAACACACACGGAAATTGGCGATTTCTTACTCACCCCACTGGCTCCTACTGCTTGGCTTACTGCGGGAACTGATACTCCCACTACTGCTCCTTTGGTCCCGTTGGATGGCATCGCCACAAACTCCGCAGCTAGCTTCTCCCCAACAGATGTATCCGGCAACACCACATCTGCTGGCTGGAGCTGCACTGATGTCACCAAAAATTGGCACCTACTTCAGCCTTGGTTGGCGCCTCCTGCGTTCCAGACTCTGCAGCACAAACACCGCCCACAGCAGCAAAAACGGGTCCCAATTGGCTCCCCAGTGTGCAAGAAACCTGGCAAATTCCTGGACACCAGCTGACTGGATGCTCTGTAGACACTGGCAACACTGCTCCAAGCCTGGCTGCTGGCGTAATCACTAGCTGCGTTACTCCCTCATGATGCAAAAAAAAAAAATAAAATTGTAAGTAAAAAAGCGTCCGCAAAAACTCGCAATCTTATACTCACCAGCTGACCGGCGCACCTGCTACTGCCCCAAGTCCAACGGATGGGAAAGAAGTCGAAATTAACAACCATCGGCCACATCTGGCACCGGCCTGCTGCTGGCATTGAGTCTCCTCCCACTGCTCACCTGGATCTGTTGACTGCAGCGGGTTTGACCCCAGCAGATGCCTTGAGCAACGACTCATCCGCTGGCTGGAGCTCCTCTCGGGCACCTTTTCTGGACCCCGAGGTACTAACGCTGAACCTGCTGCTAGCTTCAGCTGTACACAACTCCCGTAGACAATCCCGTCGAAACAAGGAGGGCATCCACCGAAAAGCGCTGGCGCTAATAAGAAAATGAAATACATGAAAGAAATTTATTCCAACTCTGAAATGTAAACAAAAAGGGCTGCGATACCGATGGTGATGTGAGGCCGTCGATGCTCGCGGCTGCGATACCAATGAACTAGTTCATAAATCGTAGCCGCGAGTATCGATCGCGACGCATCGCTATCGATATTCGCAGTTCCTATTGTCAGTATATTTTTGTTATATGGCTTAAAGCCTTTTATTGTATTGGCCTCTGCCACTGGCCGCTAAATAGTATTTATATATAGCTTATACACTAAAAAGCTGAAATAAATAAATAGCCATTGCCCTGCTATAGGCAAATGGTCTTACTAGTGTCCGCACTGCCGGCACCAAAGCGAAAAGAGCTTTCGCCGGCTGTCTTAAGTTTAAGGCTCTATCTTTTGAATTGATTCAGTTGCTATCGGTTATAAGCAAAATGCAGCAGACGACTGAGATCTGTATTCCAGTTGTCGAGCCCAAATGGCTTGCGTGGAACCGGAGCCGGATTAGAGTATGCGGTGTGTTTCTTCGTGCGGCTAAATTCTTCTACGTTTTCATCCATCCATTTCGAACGGTGTATGCCACTATTAGCAGGATTGAAATTGCTAAGGCGGAATAGTCAGCGCTTTTATAGTGCGGCAGGATGTCAAGTTGATGGGGTATGTTTGATGATCATTTTCTTTTAGACCTTGTAGTCCGTTAACCGCGCTTGTAAACAAGCCTAGGGTTCTTATGCACTCGTTGGTATTCCTCTAGGGGTCAGCCGTATTAAGCCAGTTCCTTTAAGGTGTATTGTGGAAGGTCGTCTATTGCAGATAGCTTTGAGATCCCTTGGATAATGGGTCGAAAAAAGAAGAGCTTACAAAATTTCTGGGTGCTGTGGGAAGATGAATAGCATCATCAATTGTGTTGACTGAGTCTCAGGCCCCACTAGTTTCTTACGGACTCTGGGTAGCCCTAAAAAAAAGTTATTCGCACAAACGAAATTGGTCGTAGTGAATAGCTTGACTCTTACCACGGCGGCTTAGGAGTCTTCACATGCTAAAAATAACATCTGTTGGTAAGTCGCTAACCAATTCCAACTGTTCTGTCTTTGTGGAGAAACCACAAAATACTTCTACGCCAGCATTAAAGAATGGGCGTGCTTGGGTGACTCGCTCCACAGGGAAGTTTCTGTTTCATCAACCAACCCTTCCTCTTCACACCTTACACAGCTGTGGATGATGTTCCTCGCCATGGCTTTATCGTTCCAACATTTTTGCCTCGTAACAGACTAAGAGCCTGTGCCCCGTAATGCGTATATTCTTCGTGAATTTGCCGAAGATCCGTCTGTTCAATTTGATCGATATACGGAAGTAGTACTTGATGCTTTGCATGGAAGCACCGATTTTTCTCATCTCTAATAAGAAAGGCAATAAATTGCTTTGTTTGCAGTTGCATATTTTTTGCCCCGATGTGTTTTAAATCAGAATCATCAACGAAATATGATCAGAAAACTTTAGCTATGAGTCCAAAAGGACACCGAGGCCGCTTTCAACAGTTATTCTTTACAACTAGCTGCCACTTTACGTGTAAGTCTCGTATTTCGAATTGACCCGACAAAAAGTCATCAGCTTGAACCGTTTATAAATGCCAGGAAATATCCTTATACTGCAGGCAAAATGTATCATAAGTCTGCGTACATAACTACGTGAGAATGATTTATAAGGTCAAGTTTTTGAATAAGAATAAAGTGACATAGGGATGATTGATATCCAAAGAAAAACTTTAGAAAAATAATTTTTAAAGATTTGTCCTGCCACTCAATTCACGAGTCAAGTTCCCGAAAAAGATGTGATTTACAGAGACAAATGCTTAACGTTTCAACTTGCGGGCAAAGTTATTGACGAATCGAATTGAAAATTTATGTGAATATTCCTTATACAAGTCTGAAAAATATGAACCAAACTCTGGAATGATATTATTAAGTAAAATATATTTTTTATGTAAGAAAGGTGAAAAAAAGTGATAAAAAAACATGACATTTTGTTCAAACACCTCCAAAACATTAAATTTTCAACTATTTCGGTCCGAGTTTGGTTCATATTCTTATAAAATATGAACTATCAAAGGAAAAAAAAATTATGATAAAGATCAAACCTGCGACCTCCAGGTTGCCCGCAAGGGGTCAACTCTGATGGCGATCGTCAATGGAGACCAGCCTCTAACTCCCCCAATTCAGGCGGAAATGACTTACCAAAATTTGAAAGTTGTGACGGTTTGTCGTTGTCGGGTGGCTCAGGGATGGCCAGGGTTCGTCACAAGAATTTGTTTGTGTCAGGCGTAGTTGCTGAAAGAGAGTTCCGACCCAGCCCAGAGTAGAAGTCGTGGGGAATTACTTAGTAATTGATTATAACTAGGTTTATTTCATTGAGAATCTTGACATATGATTAATAACTAACGGCTTCTCCGGACTGGCGCGGTGCCGCCCTTGCTGCCTTCGCTTCCTTCGTACACATCGAATGCCTGGTATCGGGACCCGTACAGCTGCTCGAGAGGCACAACACGGGATTACGGCTGCTGGTAGAATAGACCCCGGGGCGGGTTGCCACGTAGCGAGCCTGAAATAAGAATATAGTGCTTGGGGACCCTGAAGTCATCCACGAGCGAGAGAGAATTTAGTGCTTGGGGACCCTAAAGTCAGCCGCTAGAGAGAGAGAATGTTGCTTGGAGACCCTGAAGTCAGCCGCAAGAGAGAGAGAATGTTGCTTGGGGACCCTGAGGTCAGCCGCAAGAGAGAGAGAGTGAGTTGGTTGGGGACCCTGAGGACAGCCGCAAGAGAGAGAGAGAGTTGCTTGGGGACCCTGAGGCATGATACAATAACATAAGGTAGTCTCGTCGGCTGTCTAAACGTTCGGGTTTTGATCAGTGCATGTTCGTTTTTTAAAGGAAAAGGTTGTCTGCGCACGAATTTTTTACAGAATTAACCCTTGAGCAACATGACTTTTTGCAATTTGTGCCGCAAACTTGTCGATGGCGTAACATTTTTAAAAGCACCGAAATGTTTGGAAAAAAGAACGCTGTGGGAAGAATTAAGAATCTTAACAAAAGAGTTAGCATTCAAAGACAAAAACAACGCCTAATTTAAATTCCAAATTATTAAAAATTAAACTCGTTTTATTATGAAAGGGAGAGAAAAGAGAGAGAGAGAGTTGTTTGGGGACCCTGAAGTCAGCCACAAGAGAGAGAGAACGTTGCTTGGGGACCCTGAGGTCAGCAGCAAGAGAGAGAGAGAGTTCCTTGGGGACCTGAGGTCAGCCGCAAGAGAGAGAGTTCGGCCGGTGAACCGCGCCGTAAGGAGGTGTGATCCTAAAATCACCACTTATGGAACTAATAAACAAATTTTTAAATTCAATCTCAGCTACATTGCCTTTGCCTTTATTTATGATTCTGCCTTCGCCTTTTTCATTAACTTCGAAGGCCGCGCTTGACCGTTCGGCTGAGATAAATGAACCTATAGTAAAGTAAACAACAGCTTCCGTTCGAAGCCAAACTCTCACGTTCAAAGACAAAAGTATTGCGTTCCAATTTTTAATCAAAATTGCATCGGTCAGCATAATTGAATTTCACAACGATATGCGACAATGTGGGGCTGTGTCATTAAAAAGTTCCAAAAATAAAAATTTAATGAAAAACAAAATTAAATTAACAACGGAACTCGCGCAGCCAAGAACTCAAATTTTTATTGGAAAAATTAAAACATCCAACACCAAACAGTGATCGTGTAATGGAAATCAATAAATGAAATAATCCATTAAGGGGGTCTTCTAGTCTAGAGGCTCGAATTTCGACCTTTTTTTAACGATTAATAAAAAAAAATCAATAGATATTTTTACTATCCGTTTTTTTATCATTTGTTTATTAAACTTAAAGGAGTACATAAAATAAATTTCAAAAAAAAAAAATTAGTTTTCATTGAGTTATTCCTTCTTGAAGAAGAGGGGAAAAAAAAGAGGCCGTGTCCGCGTCGCCATGATATCTCTGCTTGTAATTATCTGAAAAATAAAACAATGATAGATTCTTAATGAGTACGAATGTCGCTATGGCATGAACCACCAAAAAAAAAAAATCTTTTTTTTTCAAGAAATGGCGGCTACTCAAAGAAAAAAGTCGATTTTTTTCACTAATTTTTCCACTTTGTCGAATTTTTAAAAATATTATAAATTTAAAATTTTTATTTTTTGTTGGTTCATGCGATAGCGATATATTTAAAGAATATTCATGCCAAATTTTAAGTATCGACTGATTAGAACTTGAGTTAGAGTGGCGACCGCATCAAAAAAAGTAGTTTCGAGAAAAACGCGTTTAAAGTTCCAGTCGTTCGCTCAACTGGTCTAGTTGCCACGTCACTAAAACGGCAATAACTTTGAAAATAATTTGAGTTTTGAAAAATCCTTTTAGGGAGATATTTTTGAATATCCAAACTATCGAATTATGAAAAAAAAAATTTTTCGATTTTCTCAAATTTCTAGACTAGAAGACCCCCTTAAGTTGATTAGTTGGTGGACTGAAGATCTAAATCTCAAACATCAAGAACACTATAAAAATAAAATAAATCCGAAAACCGCTAAAACCGCTAAGACAAATAAAACTACAAAACCAACCAAAAACAACAAGCAAATAATCAGACAACGAAGAACCAACCAAAGAAAAATTGACAGGAAGGAAGGGCTGTAGGGCAATCCCTCGCCAACACTGGACAAAATTTTAATCTCTATCGACATTAACAGAATTAGCTCGCTGCATAAAAGAACAATTTAATTTAAC